TCGATTGGCAGGATGATGGAACGATTGGTGTAATTCTTGAAGTTGTCCCATCATCAGGAATGTGCATCTCCAACCGAGTTGAAGTAGAATTGATGAGTGAAGATGAACATGGAAGAAGTCCTAGTAGAGTCTAGGAAATTTTTTATGATTAGTTGGACACATTTGTATGTGTTAAATTGTTTGTGATTTTAGGACTTGGGGACTGCGAGGCTATACTTTCGACTAGTATGAGTAGTTGTGAATAGTAGTAGAGATCTATACTACTTGAAGCATAGGACTCATGCTTGGATCAGGGAAAGTCACAAGGTTACCAAGACGCTTGTAATTGAGTTCGTTTTTATTCAAGTATGTCGTTACCATTGTTTCGGTAATGACTAATAAGATGACTAATATTCTAACCCTAGTGGTCATATCAAATTGAGTCCGACTACGATGAGTTTGTTACGTGGTTCAGAGAACCAAGTTCGATGTAGCATTTGACTTCAGTCAGAAGATTGAAATCAATGTGATCGATGGCATCGCGCTCGTTGTTAAGGAAGCTTGTAGCTAGAAATGCAACATGTAAAAATGTGATTATATCACATTAGAATATGAAGGAAGGTATATTCCATCCTGGAATTTGACCCTAAGAGAATTGAGTCTAAGCGTTGCATCATATGATGAGAGGTCATTAGAACATGACTCATCGATCTGTTACAATAGATAAAGGAAAGTCTTTATCCTAACAAGAATAAGGATTCCTCAATAAGGATTTATTTTGTAACTCGAAGGTTTCAAATGAAAGTCCAACATAGTATGAAGAGTAGATGCATGATTGAGTATCAAGGTTATTACTTAGGATGGAGAGATAACATATGGAGTCAGTATACGAATCCTATTTCGTTGATGATTCTGGGACGTAGTCATCCTAAGGGGGAGATAATTGTAACGCCCGTAGATAAGGGCTAGTCAATTTTGAGACAATAAGCATCAAAAATGACTTTTTGATAGAAGATTATTTAGAAGGAGTAATATTAACTAAGCTGTAGTATATGTCACAAGGTTTCCCTGCATATAAAGAATGTAGAAATCCGAGTTATAATTAAGAAGTTATGACCTGTCGAAGTTTTGGGACAGAACCAGCACGACACAGTGCGACATAAATAGTGAATTTATGATAGAGCCATATTTGGATTTAGCTATCTAAACAAAAGTCGTAGAATACGTTAAACCAAGAGCGTGCATGAAAAGAACGCCCAAATCTAACTTCGTATGAGGAAGTTATGATGTTTCGAAGTTTCGGCTTAGCAGTGTACATCTCGAAGTTCGACTATGAGATCGAGCGATATTTAGCCGAAACAATCTAAACGAGCATTGAAGATTTAGTCTATTGTAGTCCCAACGGTGAAAAGACAGACAAAAACGGATGACAGACGAAGAAGTTACGAGTTTATAACAAAGTTTTCCTATCCCGGCCTACTAAAAATAATATATAAATAATATAATAAAAATAAAGTCAAAATTAGCCAACTCAATATTTATGACTTCTGGAGCCTGAGAGACGCAAGTGGCAACGACGCAGCTGATGGCTATTGAACTCACGACGTGAATATTTGAGATTCACGACGTGAATCTAGAAAAATGGCCCTATAAATAGAATTCAAGGGGCAGCCGAGTTTGGTTGCTCAATCTCTTTTCTCCCACTCCTGATACCCTCTCTAAGCCCTATTTTAACCCCCCCCCCCGGATGCCCTGGTATCATCTCGAGACCCAAAGCAAGTCCCGAAGCCCGAAGATCCATAGAAGAAAAGAGTTTCCGAGCCGAAGCTGTGCCTGGGAGAAGCCCAGTGTGTTAAGATCTTCTAGATCTACCGAAGAATACTACTTTTACAAGACGTAGTGCTGTCCGAGCATCGTCTAATCAAGTGAGTGTAGTTACTTTCTTCTAACACATAAATATGAAGTATTTGCTATGAAATACATGTTATGTGTTTATATATTGTTTGTTTATTTGAGATGGATGTTGGATGAATGTTTTATACAAGTTTGTATATGTTTTAAATTATATATGTAATTTATATCTACAAATATGTTGGGTAGAACATGGGTAGATGAAACAGTTGGTGTGTGATGAAATATTGTGATAAGAGATAGGTGAGGATATAATGGTGATGATAATTAGGTGATGATAGATAGGTAATGAATTACGAGTCCAGGTGATGTTGTGGATCCGTATTCATGTGATGATAGTCTTAACCCTTATTATGAATTACGAGTTCAGGCGATGTTGTGGCTGCGTATTCATGCGATGATAGTCTAACCCTTATTATGAATTATGAGTCGAGGCGATGTTGTGGTTGCGTATTCATGCGATGATATTCTAACCATTATTATGAATTACGATTCCATGCGATGTTGTGGCTACGTATTCATGCGATGATATTGTAACCCTTATTATGATTTACGAGTCCAGGCGATGTTGTGGCTGCGTAATCATGCGATGATACCCTAACCCTTACTAGACACATATTGAGGGAGTGATCCCCGAATTAGTATTATCTATGCGATGTAGGCGATGATCCTTAGGAAAATTTCTTAGGAGCAAACATATAAGGAAATAAGATGTAAGGAGATGAGAGGTAAATATGATATATGAGATGACCCTTAATATAATATCTTTAGGGAATATTAAACGAAGATAATGGGGATGGGTATTTGGGTCTATTGTTTGATGATTAAATATAATAATTATATTATTGTAGGTTGAAAACCCTATATGCTTACCAGGATCCCAAGTCTAACCCACTCAGTTTTATTTGCATTACAGGTAATTGCACAAGGGTATAAGTTGGTTGACTTGACAAGAGATTTTGGATTATAGATAAGTAGTTATAAGTAACTGTTGTAATGTTTATTTTATATTGTTTATGCTTTTGGTCTGTATCAGAACATGACATTCCGAGATTTTGTTATATAATGAAAATATTTTTTTTAAAGAAATGCTTTGATAAATTCTTATCATATTTTGTTTTAGGAACAAATTATACAACTGTTTTCTGTGAACGATTGCTCTGATTTTAAAACAAGCATAAACAAATCGGTCTTTTCTGGCCGTGAAAATAGGAATGTCACATATCAGCACGCAATATCCTCTTTCCAGTTCATAATGACTAAGTCTTTCCAAGTGAAGATGAAACAAATATTTAGTGGGAGTAGAATGAAGATCATCGGTGCGTTGAAAGCACATTTAATTCTGAATTTCAAGATAAAATATCCCATGCTCCAAAGCTAGAATGAACATGTATTGAACTGGTTCAAAACCCGTTGGCAATTTATTGTTGATGTACCTAGTACCTTAAGGAAGAAGAAACTTGGTACCTTTGGACTATCTGGGAGCGCCTGTTCTTCTTTAGGATGATGGTCTAGATGGACCAGCGGATAGCACAAGATTAAACTTCTTGAATTTGATGAGTAGCTACTGAATTTCCAACTTAACTTTTTGAGCATGAATACCTTTATGTTTGTAAATAATTTCATGAATTTGCATCCACTCTCTATAGCTAAATGTTACTAGCTCACGAGTATAAATAACTTCAATGTATTCATATTCAGTTTTCTTTCTAACTAGGTAAAGCTTTTATGACTCTTTCCTTGGTTTGGTGCATCTTCCTTTGATAAAGGGATTAGGCTTTGTTTTGCGAGTAAGAATGTCTCCAAACTTCTTCCTATTGTTCCAGTCATTTAGGTCTGAAACTATGTGTTGTTTCTCCACATTATTATTAAAGATTTTATTGACCTGATTATCAGTGCTTTGAACATTAGCACTCTCATCAGCGGAAGCAAGAGCCTCAACAAGTTTGGCAGACAAACGTTCTTCTTTTCTTACTTATTTCTTTTATCTAACAACAACATTATACTCTAACATGATTTCTCTAAATTCCTCAATAGGTAACCTCTAAGTTTCTTCTAATTCATTTAGATCCAAAGAGGAGCTTTCTTTTTTTAGGAGGAGGTGCTGAAGGATCACCACCAGCAGCAAAAGTGTTTCTAGCTTCAGCATCATGAGCTCCCCCTGAGAAGGAAGCGCTCATGTTTCAAGGATTGAGCTGATCATTGTCAGAATCATTGTAAGTATTAGTCCCTTGAGGAGCCTCTTGAGGTATCTCCCCCTTAAAGTAAAAATTAGGGTAGAGAACATTCAAAGGAACAACAGCTTGACGCATGAAACCAAGATAAAGAAACCCTTAAAAGTCATCAGTCTTTGATTGGTCACTAGTTTCAGGAATGAGTTGATCACCAATTGTTACATCAACTATTGGAATATTAGCAACAACTATATACTTTTGAGGATCAACTTTAGCATTAACCCTTACAGTTATCTCAGACTGAGATGGAGTAGGTATAGTCATCACCTGCATTTGCATTGGCGGAGGACCCCTTTGATTATTCTCCGTGTTTTTAGAAACATTAGATTGGGGAGGAGAGTTTGGAGGAGGTCGACGAGTGCGAGGATGAGAGTGAGATGGTGGAGGAGGCTTTGTTGATGGATGTGGAGGTGGAGGAGGATTATAACCTGGAGATTTGGTGGAGTGTCATCAACAACCATATCATCATCATCATTATCATTGTCACCCAAAGCCATACTTCGCTTCTTTGTAGCCACATTTCTTTTAACTTTACTCAAACTTTTTCCTAGTGATTGAGTTATACACACAATTAGAGAAAGTTAAGAAAGCACATCAGTTAGAAAGCTAGAGTTGGATTCTTCCTAATTATCCTGTTGAAATGCAACAACCAAGATAGGAGTTAGCATATGAGGAGGAGACACTGACTTCTCTTGGATCAATGGTTCGATAGTTTTAACAAAAGGAAGGGTTGATCCACTTTGTTCAAAATCATCTATAGAGGGAGTGGGTGAAGGAATACATGGGAATCGAATATGCTTGTTCATCCTCGGAGGAGAGTTCCTTGGAAAAGAATTCTTTCCTAGAGCATAGACTTCCCCCCTGATCAGTGGTTGATTATTCTTCATCTTTCTCAATATCTTCTTCCTTATTAGCCCCTTCTTTGTTACCAGCTTCTTTATATCCATCCTCATTATCATTCTCATCATCATCTTCAAAGTCTGAGAATTCAACCACATAGGGTTTTTCACTCCATTTTTGCATCCTCATACCAATAGGCAAGTCACCCTGAGATGGAGTGGCATTAATAATCATTGAGGAAAGGTCACCAATTGGAATTATAATCCCATGACTTGCATCATACCTTTCATCTCGAGACAAGATCAGACCAAACCAATGAGGATAAGGAGCATACAATGGCTTCTTGTTCCCAGTAATGCCGTTAATCTTTCGATCAAGAAAAAATTAAGCAAAATTCAGTCTTTTGTTGTAAAGAATTGAGTATAAGATCCTTTTCTCAAAGAGATTCAATTGATCCAAACTCTGAGTCTTGTGTCCAACACATTTTTCAGTTACACATGTTAAGTACTTCCATCCTATGTTAAAACAATTATGAAGAATGTTCTTGTATGGATCACGAGTGAGGCCTTGAAGTTTGAAATCATACCCTAATTTTTCATGAACAGATTTGCAACTTTCTTCACAAGGAGTTTAAGAGTAAATTTAAAATCGAGGAAGATGAAGAGCAGTTTGAAAGGATTCCACATCAATAATAACCCTATATTGACCATCTCCAATGGTTATAATAATAGTGTGAGCATCAATATCAACATAACATGAATAATAGAACTCACATACTTATTTAGGGTAGAATAGATTTGGGAAGTCACTAAATGCATATCGCAGAAGACAACTCTTGACGTAGTTGACAACATCTTTGATTCCTTACTTTACGAACTGCTTTGGGATTTCATCCGAGAACATCACATTAGTCGATTTACATGATGATAGGAAGGTCAGGAACATGAGGACCTTTGACGATATTAGCGTTGGGGGCAAAATCGTATAGAGGCTTTGACATGGTGAGAGCTTTTAGAGAGATGATGGTTGAGAGATAATTTTTTGAGAGAGAAAGAGCTAATTGAATGAATAGCTTGTAAAAGTGACCTAGGATGGAGAATTCCCAATTTATACATGTAATCATCATCGAATATATATTCACCATAAAATATCGTATCCCAAGATAATGATGGACCTTTTAATCGTTATCCAAAAAGTTACCATTAAGATAAGAAAGATACATCAGTGAGACAATCATCAGCAGCGATGAAAATCAGCATAAGCGATCAGTGAGTGCCTTGACAAATTAAGTTTGTGATGTCTCTTGATAGTGTAGGCTTAAACTACCATTAACTGACATAGTTTTTTAGAGATCTCATCAATATGTGGTTTCATACGCTGACTCATTAATCACTTTTATTAGAAGAAAATGGCAACAGTGGTGTGATACATGTGATAAGCTGTGGTGTTTTAGCGTAACCATCACCATATATTTGTTAAGCTCTCATCAACGTATGGTACATTACGCTGAATCATATAGATTTAAAGAAGAATATAAGGGCCAAGAATGGATTGGTGCATGTGATAGCCTATCGTACATAGACTAATCATCGACATAGAGTTTCAAACTTTCATCAGTGTAAGGTATATCATAGTGAGTCATTAAGTTTTATTAAGGTTATAAAGGAGAGAATGGATTGTTTCAGTCATGCTGAGGTAAAATCAGCATGAATCATTAACAATTGAACTCATCAACATGAATTGGTTTAGATTTCCATATCATAGAGTAATTTGCAATCTAGAACCAAAGATTCACCATTAACTCATAATGGTACCATGTTATAACTCAGATTAGGAGGTCAAGGACATGAAAAACCTTTGTCATTTAAGGACCAAACAAGTATGTCTTATGATAATGATTGTTTAATAAGTGTAAGCCATTGGGTTATGCTCAATGTTTCATCAGAACATGAGACTTGATGCACATAACAAGCATGCTTCCAAAGTCAGGGTCAGGTAAAGATGATTAATTAAAAATAAACACCCCAACCTTTCTATAGTTTTTTTATTTGGAACAACTAATCTCACTTAGAAGGTTTAGACAATAATCGACAATAAGTGTGAGGTGGTGACTTAATGTTCTCAGCAGATGGTCTCGCTGATGAGAAACTTAGAGATATTTAGTCACATACAACAACATGCTTCTAGGGACGATAATATGTCAAAAGTTTCATATTAGGCTTAGAGTAGCCTCCATCATATTCTCCTTTAAAAAATATACAAATACAAACAAAAGAGTTAGTCAAACAAGGAAATATTCTAACGGAAAAATATATGCCACTTTTTCAGAAAATGATTAAGACTCGTTCCATCAAATCTTTAGAACTGAATGGTCATAAATGCACTTCCATTTTCGAGATATCTACCACTTGAATTTTAGCTATAAAAGAGAACAAACAAGCTCAACCATATCACACAAAACACACAATTCATAGTAAACAAAAAAAATATCACCTTTAATCATTGAGATTCTACAGATTGATTCCAACCTTCATGTTCACCAAATACAAAGGAAGAGCATGAACTAGTCTTTGTAACCAACGAGTTAGAAGGATCCAATCTTTGTAGCCTTCGAGTTATGAGAGTCACCAAGACAACAATCGAATGTTCCATTCATTGTGATCCATGAAGGAAGACAAGGTGGGATCACTGTCTCGTTGAAGTTGCCTTTGGATCTTTGAGGTGAGGGATAGTTAATGACAAGGTCCTTGGAAATTAGGCATGACATGTCACCGAACTACACTTCATCTCACTGCAACCGAAATAGGATGTTAAAGATAGAAGAGATATGTGTCTATAAAACACCTGGTGGTAGATTTCTCCCCCATCTGGTCTCAACAACGTGAAGCAACATGTCAATTAGTGTGTGCATCAGCGATAATGAGAGGGTTATTGTTGCTGAAGAAAACACGCGGAGTCAGTGTTAACTAGCTCTTACAAGGAAGGTGATACATTCAAGGAATGACAAACTAATCTTAAACACTTCATATCAATGTCGAGATGGAGACGGAAGGTCGTGGCACATACATAGGAAAGAGAAGAATGAACATTGGCAATGTCAGTAGAAACATGTATATGTACAATGCATACTCCTTTGGTATAATCAAATTTAGAAGAAAACTTTAAAGCAAAAAGATATAGCTAATAATATAAAAAAATATCTTATGTTCATCGATGCAAAAGAGGCAAAGCATAAAGTAAAACTAAAGTAGCAATGTACTAAAACATGTAAAATTGAGGAAGAAGAATGTGTTGATTTGTCAAAATTGTCTATCATTAATGTCACTTTGTTAGCTAAAGGCAAAGAAAATGATGGCTCAACAACGAAGAAAAAAAATGGTTTCTCTTCGATAACCAAAACATGTTATTCTCAAAAGGAGTCTATTATTGTCGAGGACTTCACAAACTAAGAAAATGATAGTGATGACGATTCTTGTGAAAAGGAAATACCACGAGTTGTTGAAGCTCAAGTATATTAGGATACTGAGGAATTTACAAAAAATTTAAAAGAAAAAGGAAAACTTTATTTGGAAATGAATATAGTTCTTTATCTAACTTGCATTAAAGGTCTTCCCAACCAAGTTTTAGTAACAAAAGCGAATGGGGACAATGTTGATCTGAAAATTAATGAGTTTTTAAAAGAAGATAATGTAAAAGTAATTGATGAAGGTTCTTACTCTAAACAAAATGTAGAGGAAAATGATTTGAATAAACAATTCAAATTCTTTTAACATCAAAAGTGTCAAAAATCGTTTTTCAAAGAAAATGAAAAGAAACCAAATAAAGTTTGGGTGGTGAAAACAGATAAGCAACATGTTGAAAGCAAAACTAAGGAAAATTGCGAGAAGCCTTTACCTAATGATTCAAGTAATCAAAACGAGAACGCTCAATCATTCAAAAAGAAGGAAAAATCAGTTCACAAGAAGTACCTTTCAAAAATCAAAAGGAAAAGGTGCAAAATCATGACAAAGAAGTTGAGAAATCTGATTTAAAAGATGTGATTTGAAAAACAAAAGCACGAAAGAAAGCTTATTGGAAGAAACAAAAAGATTCTTAGAAGGCAAAGATTTTAAAATGAAAAACATCAAAAACTCATACTTTAAAAGAGTCATGTAAATATGATTCAAAAATGTCAAAAAGAATGTTGTCAAAAAAAGTGGTTATCCAGAAAAAGCGAATATTGTTGAAAGTTCGTATGAGAAAAATAGTGTCAATGCTTCAAATCATGCAACGAAAAATGTTCAAAAGACGAATGGTTTTTAAAATGATAAAATGAAACCACAAAATCGTTTCTAGAAAAATGGACAAAAGAATTTCTCACAAAATCATAATTTTTTTTGACAAAACTACAAAATTGGTCCCTGTGGTTTGCAAAAAACTTTGGATAGGGTCCAAAAACTTTCCTACTTGCATAGAAAGTCTAAAATCAAAACTTTTCTTTGGTTTTGGTCCAAAAAAAATGAAAGGACTATTATGCCCTTATTATTCCTTTTTCACATTTTTTTATTTACTAATATATTTTAATAATTAAATAAAGAAAAAGAAAAAAGAAAACACCCTACCCCATATCCATCGACGGTACCTTCCTCCCCCTCACACAGACACACACACACACACTTGACGTCATCTTCTTCGTCATCCTTCTTCACCACCGACTACATGTCCTCCATCCTCTTTACACCATCTTCATAATTGACTTGCATTCTCCTCCCTCTCCATCTGTCGCCTACATTATATTAATTCCCCCTTGTGACCTAAAGTTAATATATGTGAATTTGGAGAGATCAGCCACGGCTAACCATCAAGATGAAAATTGGATTAGCCATAGCCCACTGTCTCCATCAAAATATGTCGAGACACTTCCTCCTCTCCCTCCATTTGCCACCTATGTCAACCAATAACCAGAAAAGATATTACAGATCGATAATTATAATTTTAAAAACCAAACCTAAATCTTAAAATATATTCATTACAAGATGTGGACTCCTGTCCTTTGGAAAAAAACGACCGGTTGTCGGAGAAGGCAAAATGATGGATAAGGGAAGAGGGGAAATGGTTGTTAGAGTTAATTGGGATGCACTATGAGCGAGATCCTAACCGGAAAGCAAGCGTGGAGAGACACGGGGAGTAGAAACTTTCTGTCAAATTGGGTATTATGAGGAATCCATGGAAAAGAAGAGGGGAATGAGGGGTTTTTTTGATGGGAAGGAGGGAGGTATGAAGTGGCAATGAGGGTGGGGTGAGCCGCCGGAAAAGATGAAGTTGAGGTGGGTGGTTTCATTTGGGATATGAGAGAGAGAGAGAGAGAGAGAGAGAGAGAGACTGTGTGTGTGTGTGAAAGGATATGTGATTCTATTTTTTCTTTTTTATAATTATGAAATGTGGTGGGATTTTATTATTTATTTTGTTATTATTATTTAAATACTTAAACAAATAAAAAAAGACAAAACTACATTAATAATTATAAAATAAAAATATAAAAAATACAAAAAGGAAATTTAAAGGGAAAAACAGTCAATTCAAGTGCTCCATGGACCAAAAATACGATTTTTCTTAAATTTAGGACCAAAACCCCAGAAAAACCTTGATTTTGGACCTTCCGTGCAAGCTGGAAACTTTTTGGACTCCATCCAAAGATTTTTGCAAACCACAAGGACCAAATTTGCAATTTTGTCAAATTTTTTCAAAAGGATTCTCATTATGGTTATCATCATCGATATCAAAATCGTTTTCAATAGTGACCACAAAAGCCATCATCTCAAACGGGTTCTACAAAAAACACAAAGGTTATAAGAAAAAATGAACCATTTAAACC